AAGGCAGCAGGAACCGAACTATCCACGGCTGCGTGACCAGCAGCCTGCTTTGCTGGGCCAGCGCGGAGAGGAGCCCTCGCCGTCCGGCACGGTGCTCGCCCCAGCTTCGCTCTCTCCTGGTGTTCATCTGCCCTTGGGGGCCGGGTTGGTGTTTGCGACCGAGGTTTGGGCTCTGCACGTGTCCGCGATCCAGCTGGCAGAAGGGAGTAGCCTTCAACTAACTTCTCTCCGGGAATATGCCAAAGAACATAAACAATTCTGATTTTCCCTTACAAAACAGGGCCCCCGAGGGGGACAAGCTCTAGGTGTGTCCGTGTGCGGAAGGCCGGGTGCACACTCATGCCTGCGGCCAGGCTGCAAAAGTGTTTGCATTCCAGCAGGCATCTTCCAGCGGCCTCTTGATCCCTCGTAATTCTGCCTTCCAGACTGAACTCCTCTAGAGGCAAGATAAGCCTTTTTTTTTTTTTTAATAGATCAATAATTTCTGAGTGAAAAAGCAAAATGGCATATTCGCTCAGATAAAAGGTGTGTTGAAGCAGTCTTGTTGTCTTTAAATGGCTGTAGTCTCTCTCTTAAGGTAGTTAAAATGGAATTAAGCAAGGAGATGATCCCTAGGCAGCGCCCAGCTGTTTTTCAGTGTTTCACTCAGCACTATTCAATGTTATTTAAAAACACATTTCACGTAGAAGTTTATTTTTATTCAGCGCTGCTTTACAAAATACACACCCACTCCAAACCGTCCCCTGATGTTCCTCTGGCCCGGTACATGACTAGTTTAGTTGTTTTGCAGCACTAGCTAAAAGGCAGGATTAGGTTTAAGGATTAGGACCCTGCTATGCTAAATAATGCGCACATGCGCTTCCACGCAGCAGCGCGGTGCTGCTCCAGCGCGCACGCAGCCGTCCAACATCCTATTGCCTCTGTGCGTGCGGGCAGAGGAAGGGCCGAGCAGAAACTGCCATTAGGGCCACAGCTCCAGGAAACACATGTTGTTCCAGAAAACTCCCATGGAGATGTGATACTTTGCGTCAGCTGGGAGTCCGCTGCCCGGTGGGTAGGTATCTACAGGATAGGATCCAGCAAGGTTTGCGTGCGCTGAATTAGGGCTCCTCAGAGATGAACACAGGGGTCTCTCTACCCCCCTCCCTTAACTATTTTCCCTAAAACCCTCAAAACCTGGGGTGAAATCCTGATGCCATGCCTTTTGTTTACTTAACTGGATGGGAGCCTGATCGAGAGCCTCCTGGGACTAAGCTGATGTTGATATTATCTCACATTTTAAACACGGGGTAGTCCAGTCCCCTATGCGTCACTGTCATTATTTATTCCTTGTTTTTTTTTTTTTTAAGATCTCCTGCAGCTTTTCCAAATGAGTTTGGCATATACAAGTTTTGCTTAACTTTTGACTCATGACAAAGGAAGGAAAGATTTTCAATACAAGGAAGCACCATTGTTTAACATGTAACCGCAGATTTATACTGGTTTGGAAATTTTCATACACTCATAAACTGACAAGACTGCTCCTTTGCACTTGATGTAAGCAGCTGTTTGTATTCATGGACATACGCATGACGGATGGCTGAATCTTGGATAGCGTTCCAGATCCCTGTGGACCTTTGATCTGATGGTCTTAGGACGTTGGGGCTGGTTTAACAGTTAATGTTAGGATGTTGTCTTTCATTTTAGCCAGCTCTTGGAAGCAGAGAGCTGCGCGACTGCAGTTAGCCCCATTTCAGCTTCCATCGGTAGCTAAATTCCTAAGCAGTCAGGCAGAGCACTCCTAACCACAACCCAGCAGGGATGCTCTGATGCTAAGGAACAACGTGCCTTAGAGTTCAGCCTCCATTTCCCTCCATCCCTGTGACGACACTGATACTGGATGAGCAAAGTCGCGGTGCCTGTCCTGCCTAATTTGGCCCCAGACTGAATGGGAAGATCACCATGCTGTGAAACTCCCTGTCTGATCCAAGCCATAGGGCAAACTCTGTCTGGGGCAGTTAAGCAATCAGTTAATGAAAATAAATCAGTGGAACAATACGGCAACACACAAGCTCACTTTTTACTCATGCTATAGCAACCGATAGCTTTTTCTTTTCTTTCCTCCCTCCTTCCATCCTTTTTGATCATCTAGTACCTTGCATGGTACTAGGTGACCCATCTCAGCAAAATCCCTGGAAAACCTGTTGTGCTGCATTAAAGTCCTTCTCTTCATGAGCTCTTTCACATGTTCATTCAGTCCCTACCAAAATTTCCATAGAAACGGTGATTTCAACAGCTTTCTGTTTCTAGATTCAGCCATTAGACGCTGCTCTCTTGATTTAGTACAGGCACCAGCGAGTCACAGAAGGTACCAAGTGATGCACCCTCAGATCACAGTGTTTAGTGAGCCTCTTCAGAGTAGTTACAGAGTAAAACTTCTCCTTATTCCTCTTATAGTGGAATCTCTTATTAATCATCAATGGTTTCACAGCAAAACATTGGTGAAGTATACATACTCTTTCTGTATATATTGCTGTCTCTGGGCTCCCTGGCTACGTTTGACAGCTGAAAAATACAGAGCTTTTACTTCATATCAATGTCAGGAGTGGGTGACATGGATATACAAGCTGTTTTTGTTCTTAACCCTGCCTTTTATATCAACAAATATTTATACTTAAATAATAATTAAAGGAGAAACTTGACTTCTCATTCCAATAGGAGGTCTGTAATATAAATAAAAGAGAGAGAGATAACATCTTTCTACAGTATTTACTTTTCTGTAAAATTTACTATGCTTCTTTTGATTCTTTATGGATGCCAAAAATCTTAGGGTACTTTGCTACAATTTAAGAGGAAACTTGAAAGTGGTGTAAGTGCATATCAGCAGTATTATTTTGTGAAGTTTTTATACAGATATACAACCATAAGAGTACCCACCTCATAATCTGTGTCACTATACTCACAAGAAAATAGCCTACAGAAACTCTACTTGCTTATCCACAGATAAGCCAGGAAATCAAGAGGTTAAATCACTTATGATTGCAAGCTGCAGAGGAGCTGTGGGCAGCACAGGTACCTTCAGAGATGGAATTCACAAAGTGGGCTTTCATAATGGTCTAATTCAGCTTTCTTAATAAAACAGGCCACATCACTCTGCCACACATCCTGCTTGAATTACAACTTTTTTTTTTCTTTTAGGAAACAATCACTGAATACTTCAGATTTGAAGGGATCTGACTCTGCCTCTGATTTCATCTAATTTCAACTCTGTTTCTGTCACTCTAGAAAGAAGGACCTTCTTAAGTGATTTCTGTATGGAGGAAATGACTATTATCAAAGCACCCTTTAACATTCTCCTTGGGAGTTAGTGGAGTCAGTTATTTTGCTGCATTCTTGAGCTAACAACGGGTCTGGAGAGCATCCCAGTCAGCTCCTAACGGTATGAAATACAGAAGTAGTACGGCATCCCAACTCCTGCTTGATACTCCTTCATTTAGCCTTCGGGGATCATGCTGTTAACCTTTTGACATAGCATCACATGTGCAGCACTTATTTGGTGGATATGCGCACTCCATCACCTTCCATATTAAGTACTCTCGCAATTTCTGTATCATTTGCAAGTATCCCTGATGACTGAATGTTTCCTTCAAAGGTACCAATAAACATTTAGTGGCATGCAGCCAAGAACTGACCTAAGAGGGACCTTGCTGAAAATGATCTCACCAACTATCTAACTATTCGTCATTTAAAATAACATTTTGAGGGACCCAAATGGGTTTTTTTTAACCCATTTGCTGGCAAAGAGATTTTATCATTCTGATTTCTTGATTTAGTGTTATGTGGTCAAATCATGTGCAGTGGATGTGTCTGTGTATTGCATTAAGTGCATTAGCTTTAGTAACCACATTTCATATCTTTTTTGAGGCAATTACAAGCTAATGTGGCAGAATCTATCTTCTGCCAAACCAGGTTGATTGGCATTAATTACATTGGCTGTCTTCAATTCATTCTTGAAGCAACTCCTGTATGAGTGATTCTGTTCTTCTGCCAGGGAGGGATGCTTGTCAGATTGACAGGTCTCTAATCATCCAGGTCATTCCATTTAGGGCCAGATCCAAAAGAAGACTTAGAGGAGTTTTCGGTACCTAACTCTTGAACTGCAATCTAAAAAAAAACTCACTCAGCAGCTGCTTGAGGCTGAAAGCACAAATTTAACCTCAAAGTTCACAACACACTTAACAGTTTTGCTTCTCTCAGTGCCCAGACCGCCCTGGCTGCAGCAGATAGAGGCCTAATGAGGCCTCACGCTAAGACTTACATAAGCCCATGATGTAAGTCTGATGCACAGCCAAGCTCTTGTTTTCCACCTGAAAATGTAGCCTGACGAGATTCTAAGGATTTCTATTTTTTTTTTTTAACATGATACTGTAACAACGGGGTGGTTTCACCAGAGCCACTGCATTAAAGATATTTGGAATTCATGGACATGGCGGGGGTGCTGGCGGACACGACACTTTGGTAACAATTCTGATGCTTCCAGGATGCGCGGGGTCAGTAGGGTTGCAGACGGCGCTTGCCCAGCAAGCCCTGTGCAGCCTCCTGCTGCGCAGCAGCTCCCAGCACAGATGCAAATATTGCTGGAGAACAGGCAGAAACAGAGCAGCTCGCAGCTGAGGCTCCCCAGAAACCTGGCAGAAGGTGCCTGTATCACCTGTCAGGCTTGAGCCAGTGCCTTCAGATCACATCTAGCCCACTCCAGCAGGCAGAGGGACGGGGAGGAGGCTGATCTTTTATTAAACAGCCTCCTGACTCCCAGGCATTCGAAGCCACATCCTTCATCACAGAGCTGAGGCAGCAGGCACCCTTCATTCACGTTGCAGTTGTGACACCGTCCAGCAAGAAGCACGAGGTTCATTAAGGCAGAAAGAGCGAGACCATGAGAAAGGCGAGCGCTGCAGCTGACAGGCTCAATCACCCACCTGGCAAAGGGGAGGCTGCTGGTTCCAATTCTGGAGGTGCGTATGCGCTATACACCACCTGGTAATTACCAGAATGGAAAGCCAAAGCTCCCTCTCTACGGCAGTCTCCAGGGAAACTGTCTAAACCCTCCCGAGGCTGAGGAGGACACAAGCACCAAATATGCCACTCTGTGGGAAAGTGCTTTAGCCCTGGTGAGGGGCCCCCCCACCAGCTGAGGGGGTGGCAGCAGATCCCTCTCACTGCACCTGAATCCTATTTTAAGATAGATACCTAATAAACTCCATGCACTGATGAGAAAACCTCGGCCTCCAAATCTGGAGCTGGGTTTCCAGGGCCGTGCACCTCAAAGTCAGCTGCTGGCAGATCCCAACTCATGTAACTGTTTTCCACGATTTTTAAAAGTAATACATAAATACTGGCACAACACTAGCATTTATTCAGTCCCCCGGAGTGGCCCTAATGCTGCAGAAGTTATTGGCAAACCAACATAAATGGTTTAGAGAAGCGCTTGTCCAGCTAAGCTGCGCAGCAGAGAGAACGGTTAAAGCACGAGCTCGCTCAGAGCGCAGGGCACAGGGCAGGGCTGCTGATGACACGACAGGGAGCTCTGAGGATGATCTGTTGGCTGCTTTTTGTTCCCCCTTGTGAGACCACGCAGCTCTCTCAGCTGCACAAGAATTGTATTTTCCAGCCACACCTCTGGCCCTAGGAGAGCTATTGCTGGGGCTCTGTCCTTCTTTTTAAACAGTCCAAGCACACATTATCTGAATTTCTTTAGAAGGAGGGGCTGCTAAATGGGTGGGTCGCAAAGCTGTACACAAAGGGAATGACCATGGTGTGCAGGAAAGTAAAATGCATCTGCATGGATGCATCCATAGCAACAACACCTAAAATAACACAACAACAATAATTCTGCGTTTCTGGCTGGAAAAAAAATAAACAAAGATTTAAAAAGACTTCATTTCTATCTCTATATTTAAAACAAAGCAGTTATTTTTTGTGGTCTTGCTTCAGAGACTTAGCATTACTGTGTCAGGAACTAAGCCAGGATATAAGTAACTTTCCACAACAGTGGAACTGATTTTCTAAAATGCTCACCAGTTTTCATTGAGTTTACATCATGATTCTGAAGCATTTTTAAATGCGTTGATTGACTCCCTTTGTAAGTTCAACAGCAAAATCAATGGGATCACAAGCAGCGTAAGAATAGCTGTTTCGTTGGGTTTGAGCAACACAAAATAGTCCCCAGAAGACTCTAAATAATTGCAAGAGCATTTATTAGCCCTGAGAGAAAAAACAAAAACAACAACAACAACAACCAAAAAAAAAAACACACCAGTTAAATGTAAGAGCAACTTGACTGGACTTTGCCGGCCAGTGGTTCGAATGCTGACAAACTTAATTGCCTGAGCCAGAGATTTAAACCTACATAAAAGAGCTACCTTAAACTTAAAAACCTATGCAGAGACCTAAAGAGCTACCTCTTTTGGTGCTAAACAGACTTAGTTAGCCAGTCAAAAAATTTACCCAAAAAAAAAAAAAAAAAAAAAAGGACCAGGTGAAGAAGAAGAGTTTTGCTGTGATTTGGAAATGTAAGAGAGCCTTTACCACTGATAATCAGTGGCTACAGCTTCCATTTTATTGAGCTGCTCTGAGTAACTTTGCTGGAATTGGGAGCGGGGAGCCGTGCGTGAGCTCTTGTTCTGTTGCACCACACAGGCTCTGCAGGAACTGCAACCTCATATCCAAGATGATCTCCAAAAGCCAAGGGGAACAGTGAGGAATGTGGGATACGTCACATGTCTAAGGCAAGTGAAACCTGGCCAGAATTTAGTCACTTCGCCTCTGTCACTTCAGTAACCTTGGCTCAGGTCACATATAGTGTCATCTATTGCAGACAACCAGATTATGCAATCCCTCCTGTGAAATGATTTGTTTTTAAAGCAAGTCGTGTTGATTTCCTTTTTTATCGTGACCAGCAAAGAACACTTGGCTTTTCAGAGGTATCAGTAGAGAACTTAAGGGGTGAAAAAACTCCTGCTGCCCATCAAAATGATGCAAATGAGATTATTTGCAGGCTTTATTTTAACTGTGGCTTGGTATAAAAGCTTTTGGCGAAGAGAGTGTCAGTTGTGTTGATGAGGTAGCAGAAAGTAGAAAACCCAGTCTGGACAGCACTTTCAATTTTATAAAACAGGAACTCCCAAATCATTTTTAATAAGTGAGTTCACCTTTCCATCCGTATGTGTGCTATTTCACCTTCCCCGCTCTTCTCAACACATCTCAAAACCAAATCCAGCCTCTTATTTGAAGCCTGTCTTCACCTCTCCCACAGCATACCACTCCCTTCTGTATCTCTTAGGCCCTTCTACCTTTATCTGTCATTGCATCACCCTGTATTTTCATCTAAAACCTCAGCTCCTGGGGCCTCCTTGAGCATGGCTAAATGCGTCAGACGAAGCCTATCACCACGATCTTGTTGCGCCACAAAGACCCGCTCTGAGTGAGCTCAGATCCTATGGGAAATTACGTCACGAGTTCTTGATCTCTCCAGAAACAGAATTATCTCTGGTAAGCAATGATGGGTGATACTACATCTTGCTTAAAGGCAACAGCTACTGCTCCCCAGTTGCTTAGGGGTTCATGCTGGTGCAACAGGAGCAACAGGTTACACCAAGCTCTCTCAGACATTCAAAACATACGTTCCCTACAGGTGGCAATACACTGATTTTTCAAAATAAAAGGGTCATGCTCCTGTATATCCTCCCACTCTGAGTAGTGATTATAAACAAAATTGGGTGAATGCCTTACAGAGAGCTGCTACATTATGGTTTTTTTGCATGTTCATAGGTTGATAGATCTGAACAGGAAAGGCTGAGAAGGAACCATCTGGAAGCTTGGACGTGCAGCCCATTTCCAAAGGCAGTTGCTGGGCCTCTGGGGCAGGCTGGGGAGCACAGGGGGCCGGCAGTGAGTCCCACCAATTCAGGCCCACAGCACCTGCAAGTTCAATGACTAATTTTATGTACCCTTCCTGGCTCTGTGGCATCCCCCGCTACAGCGATAAGCACCTCTCTCTCCAATTGCCCCTTGCCTGCAATGTCAAGAAGAGCCCACGGCTTTATAGGGGGCCCACGTCCAGCCGAGGACCTCACATTAAGAGCACGGACATGTATTTATAATGTATTTCCGTCTTCACAGATGGCTGGAGACCTATTGAACCTGATGTTTGCCAGGGGCGCGCGGTACCGCACAGCAGCCTGGATCCTGAACTGCACAGCACTTTGTGAGGTGCGAGCCCAGCCAGGCACTGGGGACGGTGCTGCTGGCGATGAACCGGAGGCGCAAGGGAAAGACGCCTGCACCACCGTCCCGCTCT